CACTGAGGTGTACTTTACATCAGTGAATTGGAGAGTATGTGAATTATGCCTCAATAAAAGTGTTGAAATCACAACTTCTACCATAGCGTCCAGTGAAGTACCCGCCTCCCTGCCCCACCTAGCTCTGCCCCGTCTTTGTTGGTCTCTCTTTTTGCTCAGTGTTTTTTTTTTTGTTTGTTTTTTTGAGACAGAGTCTCAAGCTGTCATCTTGGGTGGAGTACTGTGGTGTCATAGCTAACAGCAACATCCAACTCAGGCTCAAGCGATCATCTTGCCTCAGTTTTTCTATTTTTAGTAAAGATGGGATCTCGGTTTTGCTCAGGCTGGTCTCAAACTTGTGAGCTCAAGCAATCCACCCACCTCAGCCTCCCAGAGTGCTAGGATTATAGGCGTGAGCCACCATGGCAGGTCATGGGGGGGATGGGTTGTGTGTGTGTACAGATACAGCTGAATGCAGATAACTTACTGCCCCACCTTTTAAAAAAACCTGAAATGAGAGCACAGGATGCATACTGTTTTCTGTACTTTGCTTTTTCACTTCCTGTATCTTGGAGATCTTTCCATTTCTGTACCAAGAGAGCTTCCTCATTCTTTTCCATTGTGTTCTGTTTTATGGATGGGCTGTTCTTTATTTAATCTGTCCCAGCATGATGGGCATTTGGGTGGTTTCCAAGCTTTTGCTATTGCAAACAGTATACGTCGGGCAGCCTCGTCCAGGCCTCGTTTTTGTACCGTGCAAGAAATGGGGTTGCTGGTCAGAGCTGAGTAGGGTCAAATCATCTTCCAGTAGGGATTTACCAGCTCACACTCTGACCTCCTGAAGGAGTGCCTGACTGCCCCGTTGTTTGCTGACAGATGGATGTTACCTTGTAGGACTTTTGACAATCCTAGGTGAAAAATGGTCTTTAGGATCATTTTAATTTGCATTTCTCTTAGAAGGAGGTCAAGCATCGTTTCCTATGAGTAAGCCATTTATTTTAATAATTTCTCTGTGAAGTGTGTGTTCAAATCCTTTGTCCTATTTCCCATTGAGTCTTTTTCCCACTGGTTTGTAGGAGTTCATTATATCTACATATTCCTTTTTGCCTATGATAAGAATTGGGGTATTTTTTCTTATGACTTTAGTGTTTTTGCCATGTGGAAAGGAGAGGAGAGAATTGTTTGCTTTTTAATGGCTTCTGGATTTTAAGTCAGATTTTTAAAAGGGTTGCTTAACCCTAGGGTTATAAGGTGATTCTCCATTTTCTTGAACCTTTCATTGTTTTAAATTTTTTTTTATTGTTGCAGTTTGGCTGGGGCTGGATTTGAACTCATCACCTGGATCTGATACCCCACTCACTGAGCCACAGGCACCACCCTATTGTTTTAATTTTTATTAAGTGTTGGGTAGATACAAAGAATATACTTAAAATACGTTCATGGTATAAGGTGACCTTTCCCGGGCACCACCCAGCTGGATGAGGACATCCCTGGCACCTTTTTTTTTTTTTTTTTTAGGAGTCTCACTTTATTGCCTTCAGTAGAGCACTGTGGCATCACAGCTAACAGCAGAAACAGAACTTTTAAAACAAAATCCTCCGCCTGGTATTTCTGGTCATTTTAAGAAAATATTACATGCATAAAACTAGAACAGCATACTTTGAAAAAGAATAGTGGGAAATTCACAAATATAATAGAAAATGAAACTTCAACAGAAGCTCTGGAAAAAGGGAGTTCTCCAACTTCTGGGCTTAGGCGATTCTCTTGCCTCAGCCTCCCAAGTAGCTGGGACTACAGGCACCCACCACAAGGCCTGGCTATTTTTTGTTGTTGTTGCAGTTTGGCCGGGGCCAGGTTTGAACCCACCACCCTCAGTATATGGGGCCAGCGCCCTACCCACTGAGCCACAGGCGCCACCTGATACCTGTCACCTTTTAAAGGCCCCTAGGCATCCTTCCTCTATCCTACCGTCTACCTTCCCCTCACAGGGGTAACCACTAACTGGCATTTAAATTATTCCCTTTTGTTGGGGTTTAATGTATTATTTTTGTCCCATGTAAGTATATGAATGTCATTGTCTGGCTCGGCGCCTGTGGCTTAAGTGGCTAAGGCGCCAGCCACATACACCTAAGGTGGCAGGTTCGAATCTAGCCCAGGCCTGCCAAACAACAATGACGGCTGCAAGCAAAAAATAACAGGGCGTTGTGGCGGGTACCTGTGGTCCCAGCTACTTGGGAGGC